TCTTTGTGTACATTCCAGGTATCTGTGAGAGTTTACCCTTAATTTTGGTATCCACAAAGGGTTTTGTGTTTGGTAACTGTGGGTTTCCCCATGGGGCTTTACAGCCTCAGCACAGTGAGGGAAACCGTGTGTAACCATCCCAGGGAGAGGAGCCAGGGTGTGTTTCCCTTGATCTCAGACAGGTTTGATGTTTCACACATCTCCTTCCAGCTCCTCTCCACGCGTCACCCCGCAGACACAGCGCCGCTCCTTTCCCCAGAACACGGATGTGAGCCTCGCTCTTCTGGGAGAAAGGAGATTCTTAAAAATTGATTTTTCTCTTACTCAAATGGAAATGGTTCTTGGAAGCCTGAATGTGCCCCAAGACAGCTGCAGGCTGAGCTGGGCTGAGTCACTGTGAGCTCCTGAGCTGGGCTGGTGAGTCGGGACCAGCCCGGCTGTGGAGACCTCTGGTTTCCTGGGATGGAGAGGCAGCTCTTTAATCTGCCTTTACTAGGAAAAACCTGTAACTCTCACTTCCCTGAGCACTGGGAAAAGTGCAGTGTGATAGGTGGATATGAGAGAGTGACAAAAGGAGGGGAATGAAGATCCATCCCACCCAGAGGAGCAGCTGTGCCCTTCCTGCCACCACGTGGGACCGTGGTGGCAAAACACGTTTCCTGTGGAGCCCCTGCTTTTCCTCGCCATGAATCAAAGCTGCCATGTGGGTACTGGGCAATTCCACCAGAAAATAAGGAGGAGGTACATGGTGTGGGCCATGAGGATGGTGTGGGTAATGCCAGGAAAAGAGGCTGTAGGTCCAGCTTGTTGGGGCTGAGCTCTCTGTGTTTGTCTCCTGCCTGGTTCCCTGTAGTGGGGAAGGGATGGAATTGAATGTGCACCAAAAAGAGCAAAAATTTGGTGTGGGACAGCAGGAAATGTAGAGAATTGTACTGCAGCACTTGCCTGCTGCTTTGTGTAAGCTGCTCCAAAGGAAATAATCCAAGGTTTTCTCTGCTCCTGCACTTCAGGGATGTGGAGCTGGCTCAGTGCTGCAGGTCAGAAGTTTTCCTCTGAAGGAGTACAGGCTTTTTCCACCTGAGCTGTGGTGGCACCCTGGGAGTGGGGAAGCATTCCAGGTCCCTGTGGAATAATGTCACTGTGAACTCTCTGAGCAGCTGCTTGGCCTGCTGCTCTTGAAAGTCCTGCCTGAAATCTGTGGGAAGCACCTGGGTCAGTCCCTTGTTTCTGCCCCTCTCCCAGAGCAGGCAGCTGTGAACATGAAGGGGATTTTTTTTCCCCCCATAAATTCCATTTTCATAGCAGGTGCCTGTTCTCTTACATCATCTGCAGAGATGACATCACTCTATCCCTGCCCAAAGCAAATTAGAGGGAGGATGGCAGAAATTTTTTCTTTCCCTTTTTTTTTTTTAAAGAAGCAGAGAGGGGAATACTTTGCTTTCTTGATAAGTTTACAAGGACACCTGGCAGTACTTGAATGATGCCAGTTTGGATAGAAGTCTTTTGATGCTGGAGTTGAGTTACTGCTGACAATTACAAAGTCAAACTATTCCCTTTCCCACTGTGCCTCCTGTCAAGCTGATCTATTCCAAGGACAGTTTGAGTTTTCTCTCCCATCAGGAAACTGTCACTAGCTGGTCACATCAATTCCAAGCAGATTTTATTTTTTCATGACTTAGCCTACAGAGTGAGAAGTCAAAGGAAGGAGTGATGCTGGTACCTGCTGTTGAGGAGATGGCCACAGGTGATGATGCTTCTGTCTCTTCCTTTTTTCCTCTTTTTTTTTCCTAGCGTGTTCTTTGCTTTTCTCTAAGCATTGTCTCCTTTGCCTTCCCCTGACAGTCCCAGGGCATCAAGGCTGGGATTCCTTCAAAGGATTCATGACAAAGCTGAGCTTTGAAGAGGTGCAGCCTCAGCCACTGCTTTTTTTTCGGGGGAAAATCCATTTGGAGCAGAGGATGCAAGGGAGGCAGTGTCTCTCCCAGAGGATGTTCTGCCTGTGCCCCAGCTCACTGCCTGCTCTCAGCAGGTGCTCCTGTGACTGTCAGCACCTTTGCACAGGGGTTTTGCACAAGTTCTGGTGCAAAGCACCACAGCTCTGGGCATTACACGTGTCCTGTAATGTCACAGTGTCAGCCAGACAGGGATTTTCATCTTCCTCAGGGGAGTCTGGCCTCTGGTCACGTGTGGGTTCTCGGCGTGGAGCCCGTGTGTTCCATTGTCACGGGGCTGACACGTGGGGACAAAAATCAAACGTTTTTTCCAGCCCTCGAGGTTGTGCAGGTAACCTAAAAATACATCTGGAATGTGGCTGGGTGGTGACATCCTCCCGGGGCTGTCCCGGTGTTATCTGGCCGGTGCAGGGAGCCCGGGTGTGGCTGGGAGCCCCAGAGGTGGCTGTGCCAGTGCCTCTGCTTGTCAGAGACTGTGGCTGCAGTGCCCATCCCCAAATTCCTCACTGGGCACAGGGAGGTCACATCCTTGTCCCTTGCACAGTCTCATCCAGAGCTGGTGGCACTGTGGCTGTGACATCCTCGAGTCCCGTGTGGTGCAATGATTGATTGTCCCCAACCACGGACAATCCCATGCCCCATCCAAAGGGATGAGAAAGATAACACTGTTCCCTTTCCAGCTGGATTCAGTTCAAAGGCTCTATTTTAGAGCAGAGTTTCCAGCCTGTGTGTCCCGTGCATGGCTCAGGCACGTGGGGCTTTCCCGTGGGATGTGTGTGTGGAAAGGTGATCACAATCCCTTGCAGCCCTGAGCAGGGAAGCTGCTGCCATTCCTGGAGAGATGTGGGGGACATCAGGCAGTGTGGTGCTGGGATGGGGCAGCCAGCTGGTGCATGGGCTTGTCTCTGATCAGAGGGAATGAAATATTCCATGAAAATCACACTGTCCCCGTGGTTAGACAGCAGTTCTACTTGCAGGACAGGTGAAGTCAGTCATTTTTTGGTCTATCCCAAGCACACCAATAAAAAGCTCCTCTCCAACCCCAAATGGGACGCTTCTGCTGCTCATGGCAAAGCAGCTCATCCCCTTCTCCACTCCCTGGCTGTGATGGTGACCCAGCCTTAACTGAGGTGGCCTCGGGAGGGGCTGTGTGTCCACAGGGGAGGGGTGGGAGAGGGGCCCAGTATTGGCAGGGCACTGTTTGAGCTCATTGCTGTTTTTTAGGGTGTGCTCTTCCCCTTCTTCAAGCCAGTCCCCCGGCAGGAGGCTGCTGGGTGGGATGGGAGCCATCCTTGTCTCTGGCTCTGCCCTGGCATACCCAACCTTGAATTCTCCTCAGGATCTGCTCTTCAGCATCCCTCACCTGTTACAGGGTGACATCCCTCGTGGGGAGGCTTTGTTAACACCAGTGAAACACCTGATGCTTTTTGTTTCTCTGGGATTACCTGTGCCCTATAAAGGATTGGATAATTTCTGGCAAACGGTGCATGTCTTTCCAGGCCTGGCTATTCCTACTGCACCAGCAAACCTTTGAAAGAGTTCTCAATAGTGAGAACTTGAAAGGATGATAAGGTTTGTTTTTGTTTCGTCGCTTTTTTGTTGTTGTTATTTGTTTGTTTATTTTTTAAGATGCTTTTGAGATGTCGGGAAGCTCCACTTTACACCACCCCTGGTCCTCGGGCGCTGAAACCCAACGGGACTGATTCAAAGGAAATCTTATTTCCCGTCCCACCTGCTGGGTTAGGGACTTTCTGCTCCAAAGCAGCTCTGTGGGTGTCTGTACAGATCCTTGGGGTGCCTGTGTCAGGGTGAGAGGGAATTAGCTGCTCACAGAGTTAGTGATGGGAGGGCAGCACAGCGCTGCTCTCCCCAGGATGGCTGCTGGTGGCTCTCAGTGCCATCTGCAAGAGCAGCTCCTGCGTCAGCATCCTTTATGTGCTGATGATCTGTGCCTGAAACTATACCCTGGGAGTGGAAATGAGCCTGAGAAAATACCTTCCTCAGTCCTTCTGGGGCTTACATAAACACTATTTAAAATTAGAGCCGCTCATTATGTTGGCATGTGCGTTTACCTTGACCTCTGACTTTTCAGCCTGCAAATGTGCCTGGTCCAGCACAGCCTGGAGTCGGGAGAGAGCTCAGGAGCAAAGAGCTGGTAGATTTTCTATAATTAGTTTAAGGTAAAGAATCTGGTACAGTATCTTCCCTCCAGGCTGACAGGGAAATCGAAAACAAAACTGCAGCCTGTCAGAGCTGAGCTTGGCTTTGATGAGGAACATCAGCGTTGGCTTCTGCTGGAGCGGTTTTGAGGGAAAGGGGAAGAGCAGCGATACTTGGCCACGGCTTTTCTTGCACGTGCTTGCAGAGAAATGAATGCTTTTATTTGCCCACTCTCCCTTGCTATTTCCCAGCCAAGTGCATGCAGCACATTTATATTTTGCTACCAGAGATGCCATCTCTGTTGTCACCCTGGAATAGCTGCTGAGCTCGGCGCTGGCATTGTCATGGAGCAATATTTCTACTATTTGTTGTGGTAATAGTTGTTAGTGGCAGAGCAATTAACGTGTCACCTGCAGCACAACCAAATGTGACCTCTTTCCATCCCAGCACCCAAACCAGCGAGCCTGGGCTCCCCTTGGCTGTGCTGGCTGGTGCCAGGGCTGTCCTGGAGCAAGGGTCACTCCGCTGGGATGCCCAGGCCTGCGGGCTGGCTCGGAATGGTGGAGTTTGTGGGAAGAGGACGCGTCCCACCGGGATGTGCTGTAGCAATCCAGCGCTTGAGCAGCTCCCGGAGCTGGACTTGGCTCCCCACCAGTTTCCTGTTGACGTCACCTGCTATTTCTCTGCTGCAGTTTTTACAACTGTTGAGCTTTCCAGGGTAATCGGAGCCCAGTCCGGCCAACCTCGGCAGCTGCCGATGAGGGAACGCGGCTCTACCTTCCCCGATTCCCCCCGCTTGCCTTCGCTGCTGCTCCCAGCCTTGGGGACCCCCAGGATCTGGGGGTACCCGGCGAGGAGGTGAAGCCAGTGGCTGCTTCGGGCCATGCATTCCCACTGAAAAGAATCAGCGGTGCTTGCAAGAAGTGCCGTGCGCTGGATCCTGCGGGAATTTTTTTCCCCTCCCTCCTCCAATCCGCCCCCATCCCTCTCTTCTGCCAGGCGTGCCGGCGCTGCTCTTCATTTCTGGGAAACCATGGACAAGAAGCAAGGTAGATGTTGCAATTTCCAAAACACGTGGTGGGGGAGAGCAAAGGGCTGCTTTTGGTGCTAAAAGGGGCTGTGTAACTTTTCTGGGGTCAACCCACGCGGTTTTGTTCCTCTTGGCTTGGGCAAGTGGTCGATCTTTGCAGCTGGGGATCTATTTTTCAAGCACTGGAAAAGTTGCACGTTTCGTGGGGTTAAAACTCTGGTGTCTTAATTGTTAAAAAAAAGGAAAAAAAATGAAATCCAGCATGTCTGAAGGAAAATATGCAGAGGGTAAAGCTGGCTTCTGGCTCCGGTTTGAGTCGCATTCCTCAGGGTTTTCCAGCAGCTCCTCATAGTTGTCCCCTGCCTGTTGCATGGGAAAGGTGGGTGCCCATGGCCCCAGCAGTCGGGAGCTCTGGTTCAGCACAGGCTGAGGAGCTGTTTTGGGGCTGCAAGGGGCTTTTTGTGCAGCGTGGTTTTTTCCTGCTGCTGGCGGGCAGTTTTGCAGAAGTGAGGAGCGCTGCGGGAGCCCCTCTGCAGCGGGCTGATGAGTGATGGCTCTCGGCAGGTTCAGAGCCCTTTTTCCACTCCCATGGATAGCTTTTTCCACTCCCAACAGTGGAAAACAGCACAGAGTGTGCCTGTGAGGAGCTGGCTCTCATGACCAAGCACCCAAATTCCCCTCTCTTCTCTGCACCCTGCCTCAAATTTATTTTTGTTTTTTTTTTTTTTGCTTTTGTTTTGTTTTTCCTTGATGCTTTTTTGTTCCAGCTCTTTCTTTGCAGCAGGGCTGGGATCCACCCTCCAGCCTTCTGCCCTATCCATGGCATTTGAGACTCCTCCTTGGATTGGGGAGAACTGGGATGCATCCCAAACATTTCCCCCAGCACTAACAGAGCAGTGCAGCTCTTGGAGCAGCCTCTCATGCCCAGGACTTCACCTGGGGCTGCAACCAGAGCCCCGGGAAGGCAGTGGTGAGGTTTAATTTCAAAGGTCGACTCAGGCAAATAGTTTTATTTGCAGTTCTTTAGATTGTCCTGTTCACTTCTCTCCGCCCACGCCAGCGGAGTGGGAAGGAAAAACCTCCGGTGGAGAGGTGCAACTTAATAGGGCTGAAGTTGGTGGCAAAAATGAGGATTCCGGTGTTGAATTAGGCAGTTCCAGGAAATGTCTGGCAGTTCTTAACTGGTGGTGGTTATAGCATGAGAAAAAAATCTAGTTGGGCTTTTTTTTTTTTGTCTTTAGGAGGAAATGGTTCCTTTCTTAGCATAAAGGATGCAGTTACGTGCCTGCAGCATCACGTGGGTTGCAATTTCATCCGCACCAGGAACTTGTCAGCTAATTTTCCCCTGCCTGGGTGCAGGGCACTGTGCCGTGTGTGTCTGTGGCTGGCAGCCTTTTCCTGTGCCCTGGTGGGCTCGGGGCTGGCAGCAGAGCCCTGGAGCTTGCAGGGGTAACCAGGACACATCCCCAGATCCCCTTGTCCTGCTGCTGCCTTTGCAGAAGGATCTTTTGAGGGGAACTTGTGCTTGCAGACACCCCTCTTGCAAGAGCCCAGTGGGAAACTGGAGAGTTTCCAGGGTTTTCAGGTGGCATAAGCAGTTGTGCACATTCTAGCACTTCGTCCTGCACCGACCCTCCCGGGATCCCAAATGTGGGAGGGATTGTGCTGAGTCTCAAGTGGAGGAGAGACAGTGCCAGGGACTCTCCAGGGGGAAGGAGCTGACAGCAGCTGCCTGCGGGGGCTGAAGGCAAAAGCTGCCCTGCAACTGAAGGGCTTGAATTGCAGGGTCTTGTCATGCCCATCCCACTGCCTTTCTGCTCCTTTTTTTCCCTTTTTTTTTTCTTCCCCCTGTTTTTCCTGCACTCTCATTCACCCTGAACAGGGCATGGGCTCTCCTTGGGGAGAGGCGCTGGTGCCACAAGCAGTGGGAGAAGCTTGCAGCTGTTCGGGCCAGCCTTTGGGAGCTGGAAATCTCATGTCAAATTTTAGGAGAGCTGTAACAAACCTCTGCCTCAGCTCCCTGGCTGCAGGGCAGCATCCTGGGTGATTTTATTCCTGCAGGCATGGGCTGAGCTGGGTTTTCTGCCCTTCGTAGGTGGCCCAGGCAGAGCCTGGGGGTGGTGGTGTAATACCTCCAGTTTAATTAGTGCTTTTTCATGTTGGAGCTAGGAAATGCTTTTTGGGACTAAGCAGGACAGGCTGGGAAAGGGGATGGTTGCTGACTCCAACCCTGGGAGGTCAAGGGTGTTAGTTTGGGAGTACAGGGAAGTGTGCAGGGTGCCTGTGACAGCAGAGTTCATGGCCAGTGCACATCAATAGCCTCTTCTGTACAGAGCAAGGCGTTTGGAACAGGGAATCTGCCCTGGTTATCCCATGCTGCAAATGCTGCCTGCGAGCTTGGGCTCCACTGGACACTGCACCCTGTGATTCCCAACCCCACACTGGGTGCTCCCAGCTCCCTCCAGCCTCGGTCCTGCAGCCAGAAGGGCTGAGGAAGGGCTGGGGCCATCCTGCAGGAGCCTGGCTCGGGTGCCTGTGGACCCTGCTCCTGCCCTGTGAGTCACGGCCGCGGTGCCAGGGGCGCTGCTGGTGGCACAGAAGGCGCTTTGTGCTGGCTCTGCAGGGTTTCTATGGCAATTGGGGAGAGGGAGAGCAAACAGATGGAGCAGAATCCCAGCCAGCATGGGGGGATTTCAGGGCTTCGTGTAGAGCTCTGGCTGGAGCTGCTGGGGGGGCTGTGTGTGGAGCAGAGACCTGAGTTTGGGAGCAGGTCCTGGGGGTGAAACACTCAGCACGGAGCTAAATCCATCCCCTGGGATAGGATGGGTGCCCACAGCAAGCTCCCCAACTTGCCTGAGTGTAGAAGGACACAGGGGACCCCAGTTTCTAGATTATTTTCTTGGCCTCCCACACGGAGTAGCGAGAGGCTGGGAGTGGGAAGGGGAGGCATTTCTGAACCCACGGCCAACATCTTTCCTTTGGCTTTGTTTTGCGTTTGCTCCTGTCCTTATTCAGCTGGGTATTTTGCAAAGTGCCATCAGTGGGTGTGTGGGGCTGTTCATAGTACCCCTTCCAGCCCTGCTGGGTGGGTGATGGGGAAGGGGAACTCTGCAGGCTCACCAATTAGAACTTGTGATTGCTCTGACATGATCGGGTGGTTTCCATCCAAGTGGGATTGGTTTGGGGTGGAGTGGCTCCTTGGGTGGTTTCACTGAGCTGGAAGTTCACATCATGGAAACTGTGCTGGTCTTGGAGCTTCTGGCTCAGCTGTGATGCAGGAAAAGTGGCAGATAAGGTGGGGGTGTGGACTGATTCCCTCAGCAGGGAGGGATGCTGCTGGTCCTGCAGCTGGGACCTTTGCAGTATGTTGCAGGCCAGCTTTAACCCACAGCCTCAGTGAGGTTTGCATCTGTGGGAGGACAAGGCAGGAGAAGTGAGTCCCAGGCACCTGTTTCATCTTGGAGCTGGCAGGGCACAGGGATGGGAGCTGTCAGTGCTGGGGACACGTTTGGCATGTGTCCTTCTGTCCTGCTGCAGCTCTTGCACGGTGCTGCGTCTCCTGCTGAAATTCCAGCTCCTCGCTCTCCCCTCCCTTCCCTGGCAGCCTTTGGAGTGCTGGACTTTGTCCACACGCCTGCTCCCGGCAGCCAGGCAGGTAGGAGCTGTTTTGAAAGGCTGTCCAAGGCCACGCTGAGCTGTCTGCTCCCAACCCCATGCCTGGAGCACACCTTGATATTCCTGCTTCCTAACGGGTCTTCCAGCTCTGTGCAGCCAGAGCACCTTTAGCTGCAAAGTGCAGCTGCCCCTTGTCTCTCCTGAGGGCATCAGGACCTCGATGCTCTCAGCTGCTGTGCTTTCAGCTCCTTGGGGTCAGTTTAGCTGGGATGGAATTTTCACCTGCAGGTTTCTGGCCTGTCCTGGCCCTGCCTGAGCCCCATTTCCCTCTGCAGCAGTGGGTGTTGTTATCTCAGGGCTGTTTGGAGTTGGGAGGAGGAGGGAGGTACAAGAGCATCCTCCTGCCAGTCACTGCTGGTGCCTTGTCCTGCTGCCTCAGCCTGTGCAAGCCTGGATTTGTGGGGGGTTCACAGCTCATGTCTGGTTCTTCCCTGTTTTCCATTTGCTGTGAATGGGCTGTCCCCTCTCCTTCTGGCACTAACCCCTTGCTTTTGCTTGATGTCTCATTGCCCTCTGTGCCAGATCCAGCTCTGGATCCAGGCTGGGGCCCTGGGGGTCAAGGAGTCTCTGGACAGGGAATGTTTTTTTGGGAGCCCTGCACATCACTAATGGCATGGGGACCTCTTGTGGCTGGAGAAACGGGGATGGGGCCAGGCTTGGCTGTGCTCCCAAAGCCCAGCTGCCTCCCTCTCCTGGAGCTCTCCTGAGTCCACGAGCCACGAGGGGTTCAGGGCTGCTCTCTTGTTTGGCTGGAGCTTGAAGGCTGACCTGGTGTCTTGTTTTTCTCTTTCAGATTCCAAAGGATCCTTGGAGCCACACAAACCAGGTAAGTGCCCAGTAGAAACTGCAGCTTTAACCCCAGAAAGAGTTTAAATTACAAATAGAGGCGACTGTTAATGACCATGAAGAGTAAAGAGCACTTTCAGTGTACAGTGCTTGGCTGCAAGACCTGGAAAATGGTCTGTTAGTGCACCCTTGGCTATTTCTACAGAGCAATGTTCAACAGTGTCATTGAGACCCACTTGTGCTCTGGCTCTTGCTTGAAATTTTGGGCAAGTGGTTACTGTGACCTTCTTGGCATTTTGCTGACCATGGTGAGGGGTCCAAGGGCTGCATCCCCTGCCTAGGGGCTGCTGGGAAGAGGGTGCTTGAAGGAAAACAAGCAAAAGTCCATTTGCTCATGTGTGCATCTCCTCTTCTAGTGAAAGGCAAGAAGAAACGGGATCTGAGGATAACATGTGTCCCCATCAAACCACCCGTTGCCAACACAACGTAAGTTGCTGCTCAAAGAGGTTCTCCAGAGCTGGATTTGGCACATCCTTGAGGGGAATGGCCTGTGAAGACTTCCTAAAATCAGCAGTTATTCTTTCCTCTTAAGCTGTGGGTGATGAGAAGGAATTGCACATGTGTGTGCAGACACGAGCACAGCGTGTGTCTCTCTCTGGGAGGTGCCTGCTTGATAGGAAATGTCCTAAAGGCAAAGACTCAGAATCCTCTGGGGAGCTCTCCTTGGTCTTTCTGCCATGGCTCTGCCAATGCCAAAGGGTAAAAATGTGGTAGAGAGAGTGAATCTGCCTTAGGGAAGAAGAGGGAAGAATTTTAGTGCAGGGGAAGAGAAGAGGTGGTGGTAGCTGGACCGTGATAGAAGCCAGAGGCACAAAGGTTGTGGAGAGTGTTTTACACGACCTGAGTGTCAGGTTTAGTTTGAGTTTGCAGCTCCTTACCCTGCTGCAAGGAGGACACAGACATCTTGCACTGCTGGGCTGATTGGTGCTGGGGCCAGTGCCCAGCAGTATCTCAGGGCACTGGAATTTCTCCCTGCCCTGTTTGCTTCAAGCTGCTGATGCTTGTTATGCCATGGGGGAGAGCCCAGGGTGGCAGTGCTTGGTTTGACAAAGAACAGATGGCTAAAATTCCACTTCCATGGTGCTCTTCCAAAACACTTTGGGCTGCATCGCCACTGCTGAGCCTTGTTTGCTCCAGAAACCTGTTCTAGAGAACTCTCCCAGCTCCAGGAGAGCAGTGAAGTCCCCAGAAGAGAAATATCACTGCTGAAAACCCAGGTAGAAAGGGGGAGGCAGGGGAGCTCCCCCACTGATGCTGTGCAGCCTCGCGCAGCCCTGCCCTGCGTGGGACAATCACCTCCTTCCCCCACGGGCACATTTGTCTCTGCTCCTGCCAGAGTTTGAATTTCCCCTGGAGAAGGCCTCATGCTGGAGTCTGCAGGGCTTTGCATGCCCAGAGGCTGGTGCAAGCTGTCCACAGCTCCTTTTCTCCCTGCTTTTCATGCTGCAGTGCAAATATTTGCGCAGTGCAAGGCTTTTGCTCAGAGCCCAAAGTACTTCCTTGAAGCCGGAGGCTGCTCTGATGGGAATTGAGACTAAACCAGTTGAGCAATCTCTGCTCTTAGAAGCTCCCAAGGGATGGGGAGAGCCCAGAAGTGAGGCACGAGGGGCAGAACACTGATGGTGGCTCTAAAAGTACCGTGCTGCCCCGAATGGGAAGTGGGCAGCAATGAGGAAAAAAAAGCCATAAAGGACAACTTTCACCTGCCTGGTGTTGTGCAGAGGGTGACACCAAAGTGCTGCCTCCTCTGCCTGCCTGGAACAGGCAGCAGAGAGTACACAAATGACTCACGGGGGAGGAATTACCTGTTGTTCCCTCGCGTGCGTTTCGGGCTACGTGGCTGTGCTGTTACAACACCTGCCTGTCAAAACATGACAGCTGAGCTGCTCTGCCACAGGAACGGCTCATCCCGCCACTCTCAGCTCCTCGGGCTCCTCTCCTGAGCAGGAATGGTTTCACAGCCCGGTGGTTGGGTGCATGTCTCACCTGGCTGACTCCCCAGGGTTCTCACTGTGCCTTGTGGCTGTGGGGTGTTACTGGCATGGTTTAAAGCATTTGGGGGTGTTTGGAGGGGGCTGGTTGGAACCTACAACGAGGCACAGGGGGAAGGTGCTCAAAGGAGTGTGAAACCTGGCTCTGGCCAGGAGGGTGAATGAAGCTGGGCTTTCTCCTGACTCTGTGCCTTTTCTTGCAGGCCCCCAAGGAACCTGGACTCCAGGGCGTTCATTACCATTGGAGATAAAGTATGTGTCAATGGAGTTTCTTTTTTTTTTTTTTTGCTTGCTTCCAGTTTGGTTTTCTCTGGGCATGGAGAGCTCTGTGGATTGTGCCTTGCAACCTATCAGATCAGGTGTGCAGCCTCATGGGATGCAACTTTCAATCTAAACCATTCTAGGATGATCCAACCCATCTATCCTAAATGAGGGTGGCCTCACCAAGCTCTCAGACTGCCCCTAGCAAAGTCCCTTTATCCTGCTTACCCACAGGTCTGTGTTGCAGCTTGAGGCCCAGGAGAAGCCAGGCACAAAGTTTCTCTCTGGTTCTCCAAACTCTTTCCTAGTGACCTGATGAAAAACACTGCTAGAAATAGCCACTGTCTTTCTTTTATTTCATTCTCTTGTTAGGAGCTCTCTTGGGGCTGCAGAAGCTGTTTGCAAACGAGCTAAAAATACCCTGCATTGGATCAGCCCTATATCTAGACCCCTTCCAGGCTGGGAGGTGGTTTGGCTGATGGGATCTGGGTCCCTTGGCCTCAGTGCAAGGATTAGGGTTGAGGAGAGGAAGCTTTGGCTTGGTCCAGGGAGCAGTCCTGCTGCCTGTGCTGTTTTCTGAACCTGATGTCGTGTATAGCAAGAGCTCTGGGAGAGATGCTCTCTGTGTGCAAGGGGACAGTGCTGCAGCTTCGGGACAACTCTCTAGAGTCACCTTCTTGCCTGCTCCAGTGTCTGCAGGAAGGGTCTGGTCCGGGTATTTTGGAGTGACATGATGGAGAAGAGGACTTGGGCAGAATTCCAGCTTTAGGAATGGGGTTGGGTGGTGACCTCAGGTCCATGGGATCTGCAGAGGCCGTGCTGTGCATCCCATTGTCCTGGGAGGGAAGCGCCAGCTCCGGGGGTGCATCCATCGCCTCTTGTTGCTGGGCAGGGCAGCGCTGGTTCCTGGAGGTGCTGGGAACCGCCAGCATCTGGGGAAGCCTCGGGGCAAATGCCAGGAAAGGAAAAACACAATAACCTGGAACAATTGCAGAACACGTGTCCGAAAAGCACCACCAGATCCTTCCTGGAGGTCTCTGCGAGCCCGCACCGCTCCTCTGCCAGCTGGAGAGAGCTCGGATGTGTCCCCTCAGCCCTGCTCTCCTCATTTCAGGATCCACGTCCTGGCCAGGAAAGGGCCGGCACCTTCCTGTGCTGGGCAGAGCATAGCTCAGTGCTGAGCTATGCACAGCCCTCCCTCGCTCCCTGCCCGCCACATCTGGCTGGAATCAACAGCCACATCTGGCTGCAAACAGCGCTGGCAGGAGGGTCTGGCAGACCTGGTGGCTGCTGTGGCCGGTGCTGAGGGGACAGTGCTGGCCAGGGGCCTGGCAGCCACATCTCCCAGCCTGGCTCCTCCACGCCAGAGGCCATTTCCTCTCTCCCTGCTCAGGGCGTAGCTCGCAGGCACCGTATCCGGAGCTGTGCTTGTTTCCCACCCTCGCTGCCTTTGTGGCCACTGGGGCAGTTTGGCATCCTGGTATTATTTTCGTTCCCTGAGACCGGAGGAAAACTGGAGGCTGGATAAAGCCTGGCTAAAAGGAGGCCTGTGACTTATTAGGAGCGATGAATGCAGCGTCCAAAAATAGCCCGTGTCTCACTCGGTTCGTGCCCTGCCCAGCAGAGCCAGCAATTACAGGGGAACGTGTCTTTAGGGAAAATTGTTTGTGGGGCTGTGCAGGAGCTCACTGGCTCCCTGCTGGGTCAGGCACTCGCTGGGGTGAGCACTGGCCATGGTTTTTTTCCCAGCTTGAAGTGTAACGCTTAGGTAGTTGTTTTCTTGGTGTTAACTCGGGTTTTACCTCGCTGGCAGCTGTTTGGTGGTAGGAGAAAGTATTGAAAGCGGGTAAAACCTGTTTGAACTCACTGATAATTAGAAATGGAGTTGATGTGTGCATCCAGTCTAAGAGAGGTTTTGCACAGGTGTTATTAGACACACACAGGTCTAATGATTTTGGGGATGTGGGGAGAGGTGAGGGATCCCTGGCTGCACACAGGGGTTTGGAGCTTTGGTGGAGGCTGCCCTTGTTGGCACAGGAACTGTTAAAATCCTGCAAATAGTTCAGCAACTGCTGAAATACCCCTCTGTGAGTAATCCCCTGCAGGCAGAGAGGCACCAACCTTTGGTGCCCTTTCTAGTGGCAACGTTCCCTGGGCTTAAAGGATGATCTCCAGCTGCAGAGGGGGAATTAAATGAACCCTGATGAGTGTGGGGTGAGAGGGTTTGGGCTGTGATTCAACAGAGCCAAAAATACCCCCAATCCTCTCAAAGTGTGGTGCCTCTGGAGTCCTGTAGGTGCCATTGTTGGGAATGCTCTGCACGAGTGAGCTCAAAGCGTTGCTGATGTCCTTGTTGGTAAATGTGCTTGTCTCTGATGTCATTTTGTCCTCTCTCCCTAAAGAACTTCGAGGTGGAAGCTGATGACCTGGTGACCATTTCGGAGCTGGGCCGTGGGGCCTACGGCGTGGTGGAGAAGGTCCGGCACGCGCAGAGCGGCACCATCATGGCTGTGAAGGTGAGGACACCTGAGTGGGATGGGGATCAGGAGGGGCAGCTCCAGGGGAGCAGAGGAACTGCTGAGCTCCACTGGTTGTGGCAAAATGGGGACGGGTTTATCTGGGTTTGGCAGCCTTTGGTGTTCCTGGTGTGGTTTGGCCAGTGAAGGGTCTGTGCTGACACTGCCTGGGCATGGTGGGATCGATAAGCAGGGGCTTGGAAATCCAGGATTGGTGGCTGCAGTGCAAGGCTGGGATGTCAGAGTGCCTGTCCAGGCTGCTGGCCTGGCCCTGCATCAGCTGCCAAGAGAGTGCCAAGGGTTTGGCATTCGTTAAGGTTCTGTCTGGCAGAGGCAATTTGGGCGTCTCCTGCTGCCTGCAAAATGAGGATAAAACACCCTGGCCCCAGAACTGCAGGTCCTGAATCAGGCTGGTGATTATGCTTTACCCCACCTACACCAAACCCTTTTCTTTCATGTTTGTCTCAGAGAATTCGAGCCACTGTGAACACTCAGGAGCAGAAGAGGTTGTTGATGGACCTGGACATCTCCATGAGGACAGTTGACTGCTTCTACACAGTCACCTTCTACGGAGCCCTGTTCCGTGAGGTACTGACCTGGTGGGTGCCTGGGGGCACCTGGGGCTGTGGGATTGCTCTGGAGGCCCAAACACCTCTGTGTTCTTCAGACCAGCTCTTTACCTCCCTTGGATTTCCAGGGAATTCCCTCTCAGCTGCTTTCTCTCCATCCGCAGGGTGACGTGTGGATCTGCATGGAACTCATGGACACCTCCCTAGATAAATTCTACAAGAAAGTACTGGAGAAGAAGAAAACCATCCCTGAAGACATTTTGGGGAAAATGGCTGTGTCTGTGAGTGGCTCTTGGGTTCTTAGATGGGTTTGTGCATGCCCTGAGCCTGCTGGAGGCCTCTCCTGAGGCCTGTGGTGTGTTTGCAGTGCGGCTGCTGCTGCGTGTGACTGATGGGTGCTTTTTCACTCTTGTTTGTCCCCAGATTGTACGAGCTCTGGAGCACCTGCACAGTAAACTGTCTGTAATCCATAGAGGTAAATGCTGGATGGGGTCAGTGAAGTGTGGCTGGAGATCTAACCTTGAAATAAGCTAGGGGAGGATTCCTTTCCAGGTGTGCTGCGTCCCTCTGGGATGCCTGAAGTGGAATCTGCTGGTGCTTAGGACTGTGGTGAACAGATTGAGATGCTTGTTCCTGAGATGCTTCCCTTTTTGCAGGCTGTTGTTCTCTTCCTCCTTTTCAGCTGAAGGGTTGAATGTGACAACAGAATTCCTCACTACTTGTATTTTATGAGCATCTCTGTCCCTCTTGCAGTACAGAAGTGCCTTGAAGGCAGCTCTTGGAGATAAAATCCCCACGCCCTCCTGGCTGGGTAGCTTTAGCAAAGTGAGGGCTGAAGGAGATCTTACAAAATGACAGATGGGAATTTTAACACCCAGGTCTTGCTCTCCATCCTGGTAAAGTCCCTTGTGTAGTTGTGGGCAGATCAGGATGTGCATGAGACAAGCTGTCCTGAAGATTTGGTAGAGCTGTGCTTTTAAGGCTATGCTGGGCACATAAATCTCTCCTAAGGAGCTGGGGATAAACTCAACATTTTATTTCAACTTTTTGACCTGCCTGGTTGGAGAGAGGACTTGTTCTCCCTAAGGACATAGGGCATGGTTGTAGTTTACCTGTGAATGACTTTTATTGCAAAAAGACTGGTGCAGTTTTGTCTCCCTCTGCCTGTGCTGGGGCCTGCCTGGTCCCTCCCAGGCCTGCAGGGAATTGCCTGTTTTGTGTCAGACTCTTGAGTACCCCTGCAAATGCCCAATTTGCCCTCTTGCCTTTCCTCTCAGACGTGAAACCTTCCAACGTGCTGATCAACAAGGAGGGGCACGTGAAGATGTGCGACTTTGGGATCAGTGGTTACTTGGTGGACTCTGTTGCCAAGACCATGGATGCTGGCTGCAAACCTTACATGGCTGTAAGTGCAACCCTGTGCAGCCTCAGCCCTGACTGTAAGAGGCTGCTGCTTAGAAATCAGTCTGTTCCACCTCCACCCTGAGATAAAAGCCACTCAAGAGTGCTCTGGTCTCCCTGACTCAGCAGAGCCTCCCTTTAAGCCCAGCTCTGTGTGTTAATCCCTCAGCGACTCTCCCTCTGCCCCCTCCATTTGCAGAAGGATGCAAAACTGGCTGGTGCTGGTGGTGGCTGTTCTTGGATAGAAAGTGCTGAGGCTTTTCTTGGCAGGATTGTTTAGTTTCATCCTCAAGTCAGTATGAATTTCCCTTTGCCATTCGTGGCATCCATGTGGGAAGTGTGTGTTCCCAAGGTAGGGATCGTGCAAGTCTCACTCTCCTGAAAAGAGGGAGACTTGATGTGAGTTGTGTGGAGCAAGATGTGGCTTTCATCAGAGCTAGGTTTAATCTCAGACCTGGGGACACGAGCCAGGGAAATTCACCCAGCCTGGCTTTTGGAGCCAGAGATCTGCTCTGTGGGGAAGGCAGGAGTGGTAACATCTCCCATTTTGCTGTTACAGCCAGAAAGAATAAACCCTGAGCTGAACCAGAAGGGCTACAACGTGAAGTCAGATGTCTGGAGCCTTGGGATCACAATGGTAACGTCAGGGACTGGGATCTGTATCTGCAGCCCTGGGGCTGGGATGGGGTTTGGGCAGGTGGGGCTGTTCCCCTGCTGGGAGCAGTGGCAGCAGGACTCAATTTGGGCATGACATCTCAGGGAAATGAGGTTAATTACCCAGGGAATTCAGGCTCCCAGCAGACAATATCAGGATGACAGTGAGTATCCAAGAGCATTTCGCTGCTCTGCAGTGCGCTGGCTGAGGGGTGGTCAGTGGAGCAGGGTTTGCTGCAGCTGGGGCTCAGCCTTCCTCCTTCACCCCTCCCTCCCCATGTCACCAGAGCCTTGCAGGGGATTCCAGTCCCGCTGCAGTGAGAGCTGCTGTGTGTGGTTTGCAGCAAATCCTGCCTGTGGGGTAGCTCAGAGCAGCCAACAGGAAGGGGAAATGCTTTCAGTTCCAAAATCGCAGCTGCTCGGGATGGTTTATCTGCCTCCTGCAAGAAACAGATCTTGCAGAAAGCAGCTGAGATCCTCTGGCGCCAGTGGACAAAGGAAATCCCAGCTGTTGGCTCCAAGGGATGCTGCCTGAGAAACAGCTCCTGCTTTCCAGGAGACTCTCTCTCTGAGGGTAGATTATTTTCAGGAATTTTTCCTGTGCCCTCTAAGCTGTGGCTTTTGTTTTGGGGGCTGCGTCCCTGTCTTTGTGCATGCTGTGTCTTGGCAAATATTCCCTCTTCCCCAGCGTGGTGTCACCCACTGTGCCAAAGCAAATCCCCTCTCCCTGGTGTCCCCATGCCAGTGCAGAGCTGGTCTGGCTGACTGGAAATGTCATCAGCTCTGAGCTGCAGGAAGCTGTGGGATGGGAGACTCTGGGTGATGGAATATCCAAACCTTGCCAGAGCTGGAAGGGAGACAGGACCTTGCTAAAAGCCAGTCCACAGCTGAATGGAGCCCCAGGATGTTTGGTTCCCTCTCATGTCTTCCTCCTGGGCTGGCTTCCTGGGAGTTTTTGTTTTATTTTCTTTATGAAGGGGTTGGATTGATTTCAGAGCAGACAGTTTGTGGGCCATTGAGTTGCAGGGCTATTCCAGGCCTTCCTGGGCTGGTGGCTTCATTCAGTTTTGCAGCAGCAAGAACTGAGCTTCCCTGAGCTGAGCCAGAGGCAGGGAGAGACACAGAGTCCCAGTCTGTCCTTTCAGGTTTTTTATTCCTCTCATCCCATCACACTCTACCTGGAGGTCTCAAGGTTCTGTTGCCCATTTTGAGATAGGAAGAGATCCTTGGCATGAGGAGACTGCCCAAGAGCACTGACAGACTTTTTCCTGCTTACATGAGGGATGGAGCAGAGGTGACTTGTAGGAAGGACCCAGTGATTGAGGTGGCTTTGGCAAAATTACATTCTAGCACTTAATTTTTCTTGGGTTTGTGGATTTTTTGTGTGTTTAGCTCATGCAGTGCCAGCCCAAGGCCCAGAGGCTGCCTGAGGGCTATCAGAGCACTTTGGAAGCCAGTGCAGAAACTGTGTGCTGTTATTATTATCTTTTTAAATAATCCCATTTTACATATCTTTTGTGACTTCCTGTAAATTCATTAATATGCTGAACCAGCCTCAAAAGGAAGTATTTTTGGCCTCTGGGTCTTTGTATTTAAAAAAAAAAGAAAAGAAAAATAAAAAAAATGTGGTATGACCCAAATTGAAAATGGTTTGTGAGGAAAGAGGGTTTTCCTTTGCCTCTGAGCTGGCTGAGCATGGTGGGGTTGTGCTTGGTGTGTGTCTGACGTTGCTCTGCCTCCACCCCCAGATTGAACTGGCCATTCTCCGCTTCCCATACGAGTCCTGGGGGACGCCCTTCCAGCAGCTCAAGCAGGTGGTGGAGGAGCCCTCGCCCCAGCTGCCACCTGAACGCTTCTCCAAGGAGTTTGTGGACTTCACAGCACAGTGGTGAGGCCCCAGCAGGGACTGCTGGCTCTCCCAGCCTGGCTGAGGAGGAGCCCTGATCCTTAGGGGTTGGGATGAAGCAGGGGGGGTTCCTTTGCTGTCCTTTGGGAGCCCATTTCTCCCCTCCTCGCTGTACCTGGTGCTCAGCATGGCAGGAAGCGCTGCCCAAACTGGTTTTGCTCTCGTCCTGACTCACCCAGGCTGGCTGGAAAGTGCAGAGGTTTCTCTTCCCCTTCTCCTGTCTCTGCTGCTGAAATGTTGGTGTTTTCTGGCAAAGTGGCAGTGAAACCAGAACCAGCCCCTGGTAGCCTCTGGGTGAAAGCTGGTTTGTGGTTTTGTGGGAAGCTGCTCCCCCCTCCAGGGTGTCCCCTGCTCCCTGGGTGCTGCCTGGAGCTGCCAGGCAAAGGCAAGCTCACCCTGCAGGTGCTGGGAAACCATGTCCTCTCCTTCCCAGTCATTCTGGTCTGTGTGGGGCAGACTGCAGAGCTGCTGGGTTTGTGTTTTCTGTGGCAAAACACTGAGTTGTCCTTCCCCAGTTACTGCCTGGCTACTTTGCTGGTGGTTCAAACCTGCTCAGCCAAGGAGGGAGAGGGATGGGTGCAGCCCAGGCATTTCATGTTGGGTGGGAAGGGGAGATCCTCTATGACAGACCATGTACAGCAAAAGAAAAGAGTCCTACAGCCTTTCTCTCCCATTTTGTTTTCCTTCCAGCTTAAGGAAGAACCCAGCTGAGCGAATGAACTATTTAGAACTCATGGTAAGTGCAGAGCTGTTCCTGCTGGTCTTTATTCCCAATTTTGAAACTCAGATCAGTGGTCCAGCAGGGAAGTGGGACAACACGTGGCTGATTTTTCAGGCATGGAGCAGGATAGGTGTAGTGTGTCAGAGGTGGAAGGGTGTGTTGATTTCATGGGTGTTAAGGTCAGGGTTTCCAGGTGTTTTCTCCCTCTGTCCTATCTGCTCTTGGGGAGTTTTGAGCTCCAAGGATGGTAGTACAGCTGCCAAGGTGGGGTGTCCCACTGGGGCTGAACTGAGAAATGCCAAAGTTCATCTTTTAGCTGAAGATTGGTGTCCAGGGGAGTCTGGGGAGGATGTTGGAGTCCAGCTCCAGCTGTGTGACATCCCTTAGGGTCTGTGGCCTTGGTGTCAGCTGAGGTTTTCTTTGATCTCGTTGGCAGGAACACCCTTTCTTTACCTTGCACAACACCAAAGAGACTGACATGGCCTCCTTCGTGACAGAGATCCTCGGGGAAGACTCCTAACTCCCAGCTTCCTGCAGTCCCTCCATCCCGGCTGCCCTGCAGGAGAGGGAGCAAGGACTCAGTTCATGGTGGTTTGCACAAATCACAAATCGCCCTGGGGGCATCTCTGGCCCCATCCAGCCTCAAAATCTCTTCTCTTTGCCCTGAGAAAAAAATCCCCCAGGAGGAGCCTTTTGAAGCCAACACCTTCCCAGCTAAGCCAAGGACTCTGAAGGCTCAGGAGGTCCTGGGAGAGGAGCAGTGCCTGAGCAGGCAGAGGGTGCCAGAGGCAACCTCCCCTCTCCAGTACTCAGTGCAGAGCACAGGGGGTTGTGTTTCTTGGCTGTCAGGGGAAGACAGGGAGGATCAGTGCTGCTGTGCTTCCCCCACTCCTCCCCTGCCTGCCCAAAGCCCCTTCCCTGGAGTCTGGTCTCACTCGCCTTCCCTCAGTGCCTGGCTCTCTGCCCCCAGGAGCCCACACAGCTTTGGGAGCTCCTGGGGCTCCCTGGGCTGCTGCTTTGTTTTAATGCCTGGCTTGACACCTGAAGGACCCTTTGAGGCAGCAGCAGCAGCTCGGGCATCCCTCCCTCAGTCAGTGCTGCTCCCTTGAGGGGGGGAGGAAAGAAAAGGCATTTTTCCATGAGCCCACCGTGACACAAACTGCAGCCCACACCCGTGGGACTGCCCCCAGCATCCATCCCTTCCCTCGTGGGCACAAGGTGATGGAGGCACAGCAGATGCCCTGTGCTGCCTCTCTTCCCTCCAGCCCCGGGCTGGGAGGACACATCCCTGCTCCAGGCATCGCCTTCCGCAGCCCTGGCTGCCTCCACCTGCCCTGGCTCCCTGAGAAGACGCTGCTCCATCTGCTTTCCAACCTGGAGCTGCTGTCAGACCTCTCACTGTGACACCCGCTCGTTGCAGAGGCTGAACTCGCACCCCTCGTGTCCCCAAGTGTCCCCAGGTGTCCCCAACTCCTGCGGGTGCCAGCGAGAGCCAAACCCCAGTGCCCGGCCCGGGGCTGCCGACAGCTGTACATTTGATATCTATATATAATGGACTTTGTAACGTGTTTCCTAGGTTTGATCTAACTCGCTATAAATTAAAGCCCTTCTGTGTGGGAGGAGGGAGGAGCAGTTCCTTCTCTGCTGACAAATCCACTGTGAAAACCTGATGTGTTTCCCCACGCTCCCAGCCTGAGGAGCCAGGGGAGCAGGAGGGGTTTCTGGCTTCTACTGTACGTGATCATGGATAAATGCACCAGCTGTGGATTTTGGGTTTTTGTTGTTTGGTTTTTTTTGTTTGTTTTTTTTTTTAAATAATTGAGATTTTCCGAAGGATTTTTTTTTTCTTTTCTAATATATATTTGTGTGTGTGTATGTGTGCTCTATATATATATTATATATTTTTAAATCAATGATGAATGTGTGGATATCTATGTGGCCAGCAGATCTGGGGTAGTAAGATTTTTCTGGCTAATGTTGGGCAGGTGGGGAAGGGGTCACTAGAAAACACTCTGGCCTAAGATTACTTTGTTCCTTTCTTTTTTAAAGAAATGCATCTATTTTTTAACTGAATCTTTTCAAAATGTTATTCCTGAAATTCATGCCCTGGAGGTCTGGCTTTGGGGGTGAATTTCAAGTGTTCATGCATCACCCAGCCACGCTTTTCCCTCTGCCATCCCTCTGATTCCCCTCAGCAAACCCTGAGGGAACCGGCCCAGGTGGAGCTGCACAAACCCTGTTCAGCTTTGCTTCAACCCTGAGCCCCCAGCCCACCTCTGGATGGAAAATAAGGAAGTGATTGATGTTCTCCGTGTCTTCCTCCTCCTCATGCTGCTCTGCAAACCACCCAACACTCACCTGTACCTGCTTGGTTTGACAGCTTCGTTGCTGAGATGTACAATTGTATTTTTTTTTTCATGCTTACTGCAGATTATTTTTGTTTTGAGTTGAGCTTTCGGGTTTTCTGCCTTCTCTCTTTGTTTAAACCCTTTTCCCCTTTATCTCACCCTTTCTTTATTGCATTGGGGAACAGTGTTCATTTTTAAAAAAACTTTTTTCTGCATGCTTTTTATTTTTTTTTGCATTTCTCTTCCTGGAGAAAGTCCTGATTTCTGTATTTTGGGACAAAGGAGCATCTACCCTTTCAAACACAGGGGAGAAGTCTCTGGGCTGGGCTTGGGCCCCCGTGGATGAGCTGAGGCTTTGCTGAGGGGGCAAACACACCACAGCTCCCTGTGCCATCTCCTCTGCCTCGTTCAGCACAGGTCTCTGCTGTCCCTTTTCACCCCCCTGCTTCCCTGTCCCACCTTGTTCCCTCTGCAGTGGCAGTTCCCTGCCTAGAACCAGCTTGGCTTTAAGGTGGGTGAGGATTTTGACTCTCACTGGAAGCCCCTTTCTCCTTGTATTTTTGGGAATGGTCTGTACCCCTCAACCCCCATCCTTGTTTCAAATAAAATTCACCCTCAAACCTGCTGTTTGTCTCTTCTTGTTGTTTGAGCATCAGCTGGGAGTTGTTTGGGGCAGCAGCTTGGTGGGGGATCCTGCTTTCTCCTTATTTTGTGGGGTGATGCTGCTCCTGATCTGGGGATTGTACGAGCTGTGACCTTTAGAATGGGATCCCTGGAGCAGCCACCGTGGGACTGGAGTGGGGGACAGCAGCCTGGGGAGTGATCCTGTCACTTCTGTACTTCCTCCTGCTGTTGTGGAGTGCTGCTGGTCGCAGTCCGGGGTTTGTACAGCGCGGGAACCCCAAAGCAGCATCCCGGGAGCGTCCCCGGAGCTTTCCCGCTGCCAGCGGCTACCCGGGGTTCTGCTCTTTCGGCGGGTCTGGCTTTCTGGGCAGGGGGAGGCTCCCCATGGATCGGGGATCCCCTCCAGCCCAGGCTCCCGGGGCAGCACCCGCTGCCCGCGGCCGCGAGAGGGAGGCAGCGCCCGGCGCCGGGACCGGCGGGATGGAGCGGGATGGATCGGGATGGAGCGGGATGGAGCGGGATGGAGCGGGATGGA